TTAATATTAACTGCAACCAATCAAAGTAGATAAAGACAATTATTAGATGAGAACACGTTTGTTTCCTGTTGCAACCAATATAATTTTCAGACCTCCATTCCTACCAGTGCAGCTTCTAAATTAAACCATTAAGCAGTAAATTGGGATTAGATGGTAAATATTTTAGGATATGATCTTCCTGGTACTTATTATTATCATACATCAGTTATTAGGTGTTCTGAATTTTTAAAAAAATCACAAATAAATGTATGTAAATAGTTTCATGCTTAAAACAAATCAGAGTTTAACATGCACATTAACATTGCCTGGAAAGTAGAAGAAAATATTTTAATAAAGGTGTGAGACTACTAAATGTATTTGCTTTTTAATTTTATGGTAAATTCCTCATGTTAGAATGATTTTAATCCTGCATCTAAAACAATATTGTGAGGTGTGAAAGCTTTGTTTATTTGTAATAAAGACAAATTTTATTGTTGTGTTGTAAACCAAATGTTAACTTATTCTAAAGTGCCATTCAGACACAGAAGGCACAAATGTTATCTACCCAAATAATAAACTTCCTATGTATTCACTAAAATCATTTTTTGCTCTTCATGAGAAAGTAAATTAGAGTTACTGCTATGCAGGTTTTAGATCTAGAAGATCTGCCAAAGTTGTCATGCATTTTCACATTTGTTCATATCACCTTAAAAATTGGCAATGTTTTTCAGTTTCATTTGCTCTCATAAAAAAAATTACTAGTTGACTCAGTTAAAACTGTTGACTATTACAGTTTTAATCCGTGTAGTATTTATTACTTTTGTTTTTGCATGCGCATAAGGATTATGGCTGGCTGTATTTGATATTTTTCATTAATAATCCAGGAGAGAGAGTAAACATGTTAATGAAATTTAGACGTCAGAATGAGAACAGTTGTGAATGCCAGTGAGGACTAGAAAATAATAGAAAGATTAAGATGATACAGGTTAAAAAAAACATAATGGGAGGCAGCTGTAGCAAAAAGAATGCAAAATATTGATATAGTTAGAGAGATTCCTGGACAGCAAAATTATTGAACAGGACTCATCTGATGTCCGCTAACACCCTAAGACATGAGGTTGCATTTTGTACTATTTTACGCCAGGGTAATTTACTGCCATTAAACACACGTTTAGACACCGACTGCAGGCATAAATTACACCTAGTCAGCCAGGGACCAGACTCCTGCATGCTGCATAACTACACAGCTCCTCACTTTTCAGCACCTTTATGCTGCAGCCAGCCAAATGCTGCCCAGCGCTGCCACCTGGAGCCTGGGGCTGAGTGGCCATGGCATACACTGCTCTGCCCCAGCTCAAATTGCTGCTGAGAAAAGGGTGAAACTGGGCTGTTGGGGAAACATAACACAATTAGTACAGGGGTGGGCAAGATACAGCCCGCCAGACGATTCTATCTGGCCCATGGGGCCCCTAAAAATCTAGAAAATTATTATTTATGTGCCCCTGGCTGCCTGTCATGCGGCCCTTGATGGCTTGCCAAAGCTCAGTAAACAGCCCTCTACCCAAAACAATTGCCCACCCCTGAATTAGTATGTACTAGTGAGGAGGAAGAGAATTCTTTCGTAAAGAAGAACGTCTAGTGGTTGAAGTATCTTAACTAACTTTAATTTAAGGATGGACCTTTTTTGTCCAGGTAAATGAGCATCAGATAAAGAAAGGACACAAATGAAAGTAATCAGCTTTGTGGAGAGTGTCATTAGCATTCGTGATACTCTTTGGAAAAGCAGAGAAATCCTGGCTAGAACCCAATTTGGGATATATAATTTTTTTTGCTATGTTTTAAATTTGTATGTTCAGTGGGGCTAATTTTTGGCCCTGGGTTGCTACTTTTTCCGTCTTTATGTTTAGATCTCTCCCATGTCTCTTGTATGGCCCATTCTTTACATTCAAGACCAGTTTCATTCGTTAGTATGGATTTAACTACAGTTCTGTCATAAATCTTTGACTATTGCTGACATATCATCATTGGTAGTCCTGTAGTCCCTACCTGTCCATGCAATCCTCAGAATATTTTATACATGGCCTCAGTATTTTAGAAACTCAGTTTCATAGGGCACTTTTACATGTGCTTGGGCGGGGGGGCACACTTTAATTAGAGTAGCTTCAAGAGCTACATCTATAAGCACCATCACACCTTGTGTTACCAGCGTCTTCATGCTTAAAAATGGTGGCAGGGGCACTTGAACTGAAGCTCATTCAATGGGCTTTAGTTCAAGCATCTCCGCCGCCATTTTTAAGCACAGGGAAGCTGATACACAATCACAGGAGGCTGCTGGAGCACAGCAGTTGCCATGCTCCAGAAGACTCAATTGAGTCCGATCCAACATGCTGGGATTCCAGCGTGTTAGAGCAGCCTCTGCATTCATGTATAAGCGCCCTTATTGCCCATAAAGCTAGTTCAGGATCTTAATATCCGTTGCAAACTTGCTTTTCTTTTTAGATTCAGTGACAACTGACTAGCAAGAAGGACTTAGACATTTCAACCTTTGGTCTGAAAAGCATTCTAGTGTTTCCAGATTCTCACATAGGTAAACTTACAAGTTGCCCTCATCCTCAAATAGTGACATAAGTTAAATTACCAAGTTGCTAGGAATTAATGTTTTTCAGTAACTACAGGAGACTTTAATTGGAAACCATGTTAATCGTATAGTAATTCTCTTTACCTGTTCTGCATTATCTCCTGAAAACTGTGCAATTAATTTGTGTCATCACTGTTGCTGCTACTGCCTTCAAACACAAACCAACTGAGCATTAGTTACTCACATACCCAGCAGTGGTCTATTTTCTTAAAGGATTATACAAATCATTGATTGATTAGTTGCTTGCTTTCCTGATGAAATCAGACTCCACAAAATGGAAAGTGTTTTTTCCCTATCCGATACTTTCTGTTGCTCCTTTCTACGTAAAAAGGAGTATTTTATTTGTTTATGAGCTTTATGTTCAATGTCTTCCAGCTTTCATGTTGTTTGTTATGTACTCACTGTCAATTCAAACCCTAGTTCTTGATCTTCCAGGACATCTATGAGTAAGATGGAGATGACACCATCTATGACTCACCGAAACTACTGTTCACTTCCTGGGACAATATGTAGGGTGTTTTTGGTCAAAGGGAGTCATTTCTGGAATATACTTTGAGAGGAACTGGGGTGGGTCTAGTCTGACTTCTGTCAAAACTCTGCTCTTTAACCAACTATTTCCACCAGGACTTCTATGAAGTCTTCATAACACTAACAAGAATCATTTAGTTCAAAATGCTATCTGGGTTGTAGAAAAGCAGAAAATAGAACATCACCTACCTACCAAAATACATTGGTTTAATATATCTGGGTAACACAGATGATAATGCTAATAGCATCCTGGGATAAAAAGTCCTAGTCCTTTTGACCTGTAGGGTTTATGTTGAGCTGGGAAAGGTCTTTAGATGTCACTGGCCATATCTGATCTTGAGAGGGAGACCGATTTGGTGACTTGTACCACATATTTTCCAAAAGCCGGTCAGGAGAAGAAATTTTGAGTGTTAAGTAATTACCCACTTGCGGATAGGAATAGAATCACCTGTTTGTATTTCTTCCCTTCTTTAGCTACTGTTTTGCTTTTGTCTGTTCATTTTCCCCAATGATTCAATGAGATAGAAAATGGACAACCTGATAACTTGTCATTAAATATCCCATAACAATCCTACACTTGTTATCTGTGCTGGGTCTGGTGTCCCAGACAAATTTCAAGCCTGGTGATTTTCTAAATTGCCTACCTAAATTCTTCCTGTGGTTTTGATAAGATTTATTTTATTGCTTATTCTCTCTTGTGTAGTGCGGGCAGGCGAGAATAAGAATTGGGTAAGAGTAGCTGCTGTGCTTCAGTCCCGATGTGGTTGGCTTTCACTAGGGAAATTAATTGGGTCAAGTGACCTGCTGCATCCCTTTGCCTACTCTTGACAGATGTATGGAACTAATTGTAGCTGGGATGTGTGTTTAGATGCTCTGGTCCAAACACGTCCTTCCCTGATTGCTACAGAATTCAAGGTGCTGGGAACATTGAATCCATTGGTAGCGAGTTGATTTGCTCCCAAAAGAAGTCCATTTAAAAATCCTATTGTGAAAGGGGTTCTGGTGACGTGCTGGTGGTGCTGGCCATATTGACTAGACCAGTACTCCGTGTGTAAATTCCCTGCCAGATAAATGTTCGTTTCCTTTCATTAAAATTGATATAAATATCTATTTTGTTCACATGAGCATGGAGGGAAGCATGGATGCCCCAATCCTGACAGCCCTCTATTTGTGAAACAGCCATGTTTGCGTGAGGAGTTGCACGTTGTTGTCACTGCATTGAAGTAAGTTGGGCATGGAGGACTAGGCCCTAAACTCTTGGTTTAAGCAAAAGAATCTTTTCAGTCCAAAGAAGTTGAGTTTGTAATCCCCAGGAAGAAAAGCTTGGGTACAGGAAATCAGGACACTGTCTTGAGTGTCGGGAGAGTGCAGTCATAAGCACACACTAATACTGGGAGGGGTCTGTTCCTCATTACATTCATTACAGAAAAATGGGGCTACCTCTAAAGATCTGGTTTATTTCCAAAAGTTCTTGAAGCCCTCCTAATAACTACCCTGCCTTTGGCTGAGAAAGGACCATAAATAAGTTATAAATGGTCAGTAACAGCACAAACAAATCTAAATGACATGGTTAGAGTCCTCCATCAAATTTCTATTGATGGGCCCCTTTCTGGGATGGGGAGAGGTCTGGCTGCAGTACCTGGAGCCACCACCAAGGACAACCTATGCTTGATTTATTTTTGGGTACTCTCCTCTGCTCCTGTGAAAGGCTATGAATAGGTCCTGAATTTAATGAATTTGTTCATCCTTTGACAAAGCAGCTTTGATCCAGCACTGAGCAGCGTGGGTGCACAGTCACAGCACAGAGTGTGAAACAAC